CCAAGCCTTGATGATAAATTTTCAAGCCATGCGTTGGTTTCTTGCTAAAGTACTTCTAAATTTGTTCCAGAAGAAAATACGTTTGTGTCATCAGCATAGAAAATTATATTTGGTTTCAAGGTATTTTTATAATGTCATTTATGCAAATTAAAAATAAGAAAGGGCCGAAAATGGACCCCTGCAGGCACCGTATTTGATTTTACCCATATTTGACCTTGCGTGATTAATGTATGTATATTGGGAACAATTTGATAAATAGCATTTTATTAAACTAAGTGAAATTCCCCTAATTCCATATATGGTGAATTTTCCGAAAAAGATAATATACTTGATTGAATCAAAAGCTTTTCTGAAGTCAAGAAATATTCCCACTGTATGTAACTAAAGCGATTCCGCGTCACACCACAAATGGAAATGCTCAATTACTGCGTAAGCAGCTCGTGGATTTCTACAAATGAGTGGGAAGTAAGCTGTCGGCACCCTAGCAAACGACAGAATTGCCCCCCCCCCCTCCCCCTTGGAGGGCTGCCAGCCCCATTGAAAATCCTTCAAAATCTTTATTAACCGCAGAAGATTCTCTAGCGCAACCAGAGCGTAATGCCTGCGCCGTAACAGCGCCCAAACGGGTTGAGTATTACGGAAATGGAATGTTCACTGGTTACAAGTATACACTCCACGTTTTGTGATTGCTAGAGCTCTAGTAATTGCAAATTGACAGCGACCTTTATCTCCAAAGTCCTATAATGCATCAAATACAGTATTTAGGAGCGAGTTTTTCAATTGTTTGGAAGACAATAGACAGTTGTTCCGGGGTGAATAACCTCTACGTTTTATTTATTTTGTGGAAACTGAATTGGTGCGTTACGTGACCAGGAAGGGGGTTGGGGAAGGCAGAGGGCACTGAACGAGTATAAAGAGAGTAATTGGGAGAGGGTACGACAGGGGAGGGAGGGGATACATAATCGGTGCATCCCATGACCAAACAGGAGGAAGGGAAGAGAGATGGGAGAAAGAGCACCTTAGGATCATAGGAGAAAGTTACGAAGAGAAACAGAGGGGGGCAGGGTGGAAGAGGTAGGGAATTGGAGTTAGGGGGTGAGGAAGCGGAGAGGAAGAGTAGGATACAGATGGAGAGGGCATCCTGGGAGCGGGGAGGAATGGGGAGAGCGAGGAAGGGGAAAGAAGAGGGGAATTGGGGAGGGGAATTTGTGTGTCACGTGACGTATATTTCGCTGCTAAATTAGGAGGTAAGAAATTGTAATTCAAATATTTATTCATTTATTTCAACCAAGGGGCCTGTTAAAGGGGCCCGCCAACGACTTTTTTACTGTTTTCAAATTTTTACCGAAACTGGACACACTGAACGTAAAACTTAGTGAAACTTTTCGTTTCTCGAAATTGGCTTTATTTCATAAGTTATAGGAGCATGAAAATTGCACAAACAAGCACAAAACAACGTCTTTCATGACGTCCCTGGTCCTGGCTTGGGTTGCAGCCTAACTGGATCTGTCCCCCCTTTTCCCGCACCGGAGAATTCCTCTTGCCCTCGGACACCGCTTCCCCCGGTAACTGCGGAATGTGGGGAGAGGAGGGGAAGACGGGGAAAGGAGCTGAGGTTGAGGAAAGGGAGCAGCTCTCTCTCTTGGGGTGACTAAGACCAGACTCGTCTCTATTTCGTCACATGCCGCGCGCTTTTGGCCCCACGGTGTGCCCCCGTAGGAAGAGGGGGTTTCCGCGTCGTCCGGTTGAAATATGGCGCAGCGATATTTAGTTATTCTCTCCATCCCCGTTGTGTTGCCCGAACCACCAGAGACTTGGAAACCGCAAAAAAAGATAGACGCTTAACTATGATTACGGGGCCCCTTTAAAGGCACCATATAAGAAGAGAGAGGGGGGGGGGGGGGTTAATCCGGAATTATACAATTACACTCAAAGAATTTATACAAAAATTTTTCAGGCTTTCCACTCTGGTGAAGAAGGAAGACCAGCGAAGCTGTACTTTGGAGGGAATGAAGCAATGGCCGGCCGCGAGTCGGCAAGCTAGAGTGGAAAGGCTGAAAAGGTTGCCGCCATCTAGAAGCGACGGCGACAACCAGACAACCGGCAAATCAGTTGCCTGGTTGCCGCCGTCGCTAATAGATGGCGGTTGCTGTCAAGAGTTTTGTGTCAAGGATTGTTTGCCCACGGACACGGTACTGGGGAAGCCAGTCTTTAACAGCTCCGATGCAAAAAGAAATGTTGACAACAAAAAAGAAACAAAGTTTATAACATGAAAGATGTAGCTATCTAAAAGAAAAAAAAGTAATAATGATGATTATTATGAGTTTAATGGCGCAAAAGCAACATACGCCATGCTGCGCACAAGAAATAATTAAAATGTCTATAATAAAAGAAAGTAATTACTTTGTAGGTCGATAACCGGTACGTGTACCCAATTTGTTTAAGAAAATATAAAATGTGACCACAAGAAACTAAAAGTCCATTTCCAAGCAGAAATGCTGGATGAAATGGCGTCCGAATAAGGCGGACTTGGCACCGCTGCATAAACAGCATCGGCGAATGTGTCTTTCATATTGGCGGAGACTGTACATCTCGTGCTAATGTCACCTCAGGTTCCTGGCCCGGCTCGCGAACTGTGCACCACACATGTCAGGGGCGTAATCCTGTGCGAGTACCTACTGAGGCCCATTCTTCTTTTTTATGCTTCCTAAATATATCGATTTCTTTCTCCGGTAAGTCGAAAAGCTGAACGCTTCTTGTCATTGTTTTTATTTTTATTTTTTTTTAACGGAGTCCTTGGACGTCCCGATCAAGGAGCCGTCCTGCGAACGAAAAATGTGTACTGTCGCGAGGGGCTTCAAGCCTTACAAGCTCTGTAAAACACGAACAGATGTATGACCCCGGTCTTTCTACATGAAGAGCTCGTTCCGTTTTCTCCGCCCTTTATGCCCTGGCTTTACGCACCGGATAATGGAACATCCGCTGCACCGCTAACGATCGGACTAAGGAATGTCAGTTGCCATCATTACAAAATTAAGAAAACACAATATGTAGCCAAGTGCGAGTGTTCTCAATCGAAATGAATTTACCGGCTGCATTTGAACACACAAATAAGCAGTATAGACTTTGCAGCGAAGCCGACCTGCGGAAACTGCGTTTGGTCGTTCTGAGAACGTGGGAGCGGTTTCGATCACTTCTAGAGAAGATACAACAAAAAAGGGGGAAGTCGCATCCAGCCAATTGAAAGTCCATATGATCGGCATCATTAATAAAAAAAATTGAACGCAATAAAACATATTTGTTTTCGATAAAGTTGGTTCAAAATATCAGTTAATTTCATTTTCGAGAAATCTCAAATTTTATACAAAAGATAATGTAAAAATAATATAAACTAAACTTATGCCCATCGAGAGCCCACGTATAGGGCTACACCAGCACAGTATTTCGCAACCGACAAATGTAATAACTCATGAGTTACAAGGCCATGAAGATGTCCCCGGATATTCACGTGGGAGCGATTTCGATCACTTCTAAAGACGACACAACAAAAAAAGGGGAAAATCGCATCAAGTCAATTGAAAGTTCATATGATCGCAGCAATAATAAAAAAAATTTCATGAAAAAAAAATGGCCTCTCTTGAGCAAGTGGGTTCAAAATATCGGTTAATTACATTTTCAACGATATTTCAAATTTTATATAAACAATTCCGTGAAAATAAAATAAACTAAACTTATGCCCGTCGATAGCCTACACCCGCATAGTGTTTGGTAAGTGAGAAATATAATAACCCGTGGGTTACGAGGCTCTGAAGATATCACCGGATTGTCAAAGAGACGATGTTTGTCATTTTTTACCTCAATAAACAAAAATACAAAAGTATTTTCCTTTGAGCTAAAATATAGTCGAAATAAGATACAAGATCACAAAAAATTACTTTGACTTTTGTATGCTTTCCGTATTCATACCAGCGCACAGAACTGGGTAGTAAAATCATGAAGTAAAAAACAGATTTTCACCCAGCTCCACTCAATATTTTTTTCTGAAGCGAAATATATATACATCTTTTTTTATTTTGAAAATTGGTTTTGTTCTTTCTGGAAATGGGGCAATGCATACAATTTTCAGAAAAAATCGAAAGACCCACCCCGACAAGCATGTTCGATTTCAAATGAAACCACCCTCAAGGTGGTTCTGAAATGACCAAAAACAAACTCCATTCGACACATTGAAAAGACTGCTAGCCTCCGAAGCAGTGGTGAGACTTCCAGACCTCAATCGCTCCTTTGTTGTGGAAACGGATGCTTGCAGCGCGGGGATCGGAGCTGTTCTTCTACGGGAGCGCGCTGGAACATTGCAGCCTGTATCTTTTGTTAGCCGAGTCCTCACCGGCCCTGAGAAAAACTACAGAGTTCAAGAATGGGAGTGTCTAGTCGTGGTGTGGGAAGTGGACAAATTTCGACCGTATCTTGAGTACATCAGGTTCGAAATATTTTTCGACCAATCTTCTCTCTCGTGTATGTTTATCACCGATCAAGCATCGCCCAGGGTCAAGAGGTGCGCTCTTAGACTGCAGGGTTTTGATTGTAACATCATGCATCGACGAGGAAGCGCCAACATTCCTGCTGATGCGCTCAGCCGTGCTCCCCTGCAGCAAGTGAATGCTCCAGACAACGGCCTCGCTGAATCGCTCTTTCCCTTGACAACTTTCGACTCAGAGGGTCTGATTAGCGTTGAGAAAACAGCTGCAGCGGCGGGAAAGGACGATACACCACTACGCGATGTCTTCAGTCTGGTTGTAGAACAGGCCCGCGATCAACAACTTAGACTGCTGAAAGCTCAGACCCTTGGGGCTGCCTCCTTGATGGAGGGTAGGGAAGCACGGCTTCTGCAAGACCTTGCAGAGGAAACAGAGATAGAGCGGAGTGGGCGGCTTGTACAAGTCATAGGGGAAAAGTGAGTACCATGGCTCCTACGACATCCAAAACTACTCATCCTTGAAATGGGGCACGATCACCCCCTGAGCGCCTGTTCAGACTTCTTCAAAGCACTCGAAGGTATTTTCAGTGGCTTCGCTGGATTGGAATGCGTGCTGACATATCCCGGTATGTGCGGGGCTACCAGGTATGTCAGTGGACGCAGCCACATTGCCAGACACCAGAAAGATTTATGGACAGCCAATTGGCCAACAGGACCAATTAAAGAGCTGAGCGTCGACATTATTGGTCCTCTACCTCCTACGCTACGCCGATACAAGTACTTGCTGGTGGTACTTGACAAATGATCGAAGTACAGTTAGCTTTATCCACTGCGGGAGGCTACCACGCGGAACATCATCGACCGTATGGTTGAAGTCTTTTGTCGCCACGGTATTCCTTTCCGTCTTCTTTCTCAAGCGACAACGGCAAGCTATTTGTGAGCACACTTTGGAAGGGCATCTTAAAGCATTGGGGCGTCTGGTACCGTCACACTGTGCGCCATATCGCCCAGTGGGCGAAGCTGTGGAGTACCACAACGCCACTCTGTAAAAGTGCCTCGGGCGTACTGCCAGAGCCACCGAAAATGCGATCGTCATATCCCCGTATAGCCTTTGCCATGAGGACTTCGGAGAGTGTCGTCGGGCGTTAAACGCCGGTGTTCCTTTGCCATAGAAGAGAACTCCGCACACCGTGGGAAGCACCAGATGCGCCGAGTGACACGGAGCCCCCAGAGGCCAATGTTAATGCATTCGCAGCTGAACTCTCCAGCAATGTTCAGGACGCACACCAGCTTACCGTCTATCATCAAGGAAAGGCCAAAACAGCACAAGGGCGCCACTTCAATCAGCATCGGCAGCCAGTTTCCATCAAGGTCGGCGACCTGGTTTCAAGGAGCCTTCACACTCTGAGTTACCCCAGCCAAGAAATTCCAGCAAAGCTGGCACCTCGGCGGTCAGGCCCTCTTCAAATAATTGCAAAAATTAGCACCAACGACTTTTTCTTGGCTGGTCTCGACTCCAGCGCACGGCGTGGAATGGCCCACGCCGACCAGCTGTCCCTCTACCTTCCTCCGTGGTCACCGTCATCCCCTCTCTGTTCACCTTCCGAGGGGGAGGAAAGTTGCAAGGGGCGAAGCAGCGGGGCGCTCGTGACGCCACGACGCCGAGTTTCCACTCGCACGGAAAAAGGGAAAAAAGTGTGGAATGAAAGGATAGAATTCACTTGAACCTAATATTCTGTTAGAGTGCCTGGCCATATATGGTGTCCCCTGGCCATTTATGCTGTTATTTTATCCTTTATATGGCAATATACATATATTTATAATATATGGCCGGATATGAAATATATCTGGAGCATATATGACAATTTTTACCTTTTTTACCAGGCTAAAATGTTGTAAGATGGTAAATTTTGTCTATTAAGGTATTTTTGGATGGCACAGCTGATTTTTACAGTTGAGTTTGATATAAAACAGGCCCCACAACCGTACTCTCGTGAACAAGGCTTACGCCACTTTACGGAAAATGTAAAAACAATAATTATGAAACTTGTGCGTAATCAAGTTGCTAGGGTTCCGGCCATTATTATACAATTTTTCGACCCTAATAATTTCTTGAAATATTGTGTCTGCACTCAAGACTATCCCTGTACAATAGCTGGCGCGCAAAACTCCAATTTGTAAAGCAGCCCGAGCAAATTATTCAAGAAATAGTTTCGACTACTTGTGTGTACACGCACACAAAGTGAACCTAGCACCAAAACTTCGAAGTCTTGATTTTAAGAGTGATTTACTAAAAAAATGAACATAATTCAGTTGAATACATTGAGAACTCAGCTGAGTATAACTTACGCACTGCGCTGAGAACTTCACCTTGTTTACTTTCTTGAGATTCAACGACTTGTAACTCACATTTTGCTCATATAATAAATAATATAAAGTTACATTAATTGAACTGCATATTTTAACTTTTTACATTACGCCCTTGCAGGGCGACTCCGGAGGGCCCATGTCCTGCCAGCTGACAGACAGCCGCTGGTACTTGGTGGGCCTGGCGTCCTTCGGCCCCGGCTGCGCCAAGGACACCACGCCGGACGTCTACACCAGGGTGTCCTACTTCTCCACCTGGATCTTGAGCACCATTGAAAGCCACGTCAGACACACCAGACCCGGCGGCATCCGGCCAGGAATCTGGACAACTGCACACAGAACGGCTGTTGGCTTTCCTGCTGAGCAACCTGCTCCTCTTCTACACTGGACTTTCCGACTCGCCGCCAAGAAATAGTGCTACAGGATATTTGCTTTCGAGATTCCTAGACGACTTAATCTTAAAGGACGAGACCAGACCATTAACCACCCTTACCTGAGTTAGCTTATTTTATATCTCATACACCTGTACTACTGACTTCAGTGAAGCGTTGCTAGGACATATCATTTCACAACATCCTATTTTGCCGCTAACTCTCTTAAATTTCAAAGTGGCCATAGTTACATGACTGTACTCTATTCATGTCGTTGAACTTTGTCATGAAGTTAGAGTAGCAATATGTAGCCAAGGTACGAAGCTCTCGAATATATGCTGACTCTTTGGGGGGCAATAAGGCGTTCCAAGCACCGAACGGCAAAAGTTGACAGCTGCGACGGCGGGTGAGAAATTGCTCGATAAAGTTGCGAAAACCTCGGTTCGCCGCAGGATTTAATCAAATAAATATGGTAGGCCATTATGACCGGGCAGCCTATATTCGCTTGGTAGCAAAACGCACCGTCTAAAAACTTCCTTGCTCTAGTAAAAGGTATAAGTCGCAGCCGCTCACGGTGTCAAAATAGCCCGTACACCCCACTAGCAACACCTTTCTCGTTCTTGTCGAATTACACCACGTCGAAGTGATTGAATGACTTGATGGAGTAACAGCGATCATAACCCGCAATCTATACTGCAAACACACAAAACCTTTGTCAACATGCCTAAGAATCAAGACGAATCATTACTCCCTTTGTATTCCACTGATATCTTAAGGTCCAAAATAAACGTGTTCTTGCATGCAAAGCAAGAGCTGCTTCGAAGAAAGCGCAAGACTTCGATATCTCGTAAGTTGAAAACAGTGGTCAGCGTCAAACTTCCTCGGGTGTGCCTTGATATTTGATATTTAGAAACTACAAATTCCGCTAGAAACCAAGGGGCAGAGGAGGAGGTGAAAGTCCGCGGGGACGGCAGAGCGCCCAGCCCTGATGGAAATGAATAGGTGCAATGCTACCTGTCTTTGCCCCTACTCAGTGTTTGAACCCGTTTAAACGCGAATGTCGAACGCCAGACGGCGGCGTTTGTCGCTTGAACGAATTTGACGAGTGAGTAGAGAAAAAAGCAGGCAGCATTGCGGCTACCTACCATTATTCCAGCCAGAGCTCATTGTTCTGGTGTCTCGCTCGCTCCTCTGTCCTTGACTTCCTCCGTTTATACCCGCATAGGAGAGTGGCAAATAGCGCGACAAACAAACATGTTAGTGTTTTATGCTGTCTAAAAAAGTAGAAACAAACATGAGAGTGGTAAGTATAGTAAATCTCATTTTGTATTACCTTCCGAATAATTGGACAGACTAAAATGCTGTAAACTCGTATAAAATAATTCTAAAGAAAAAAAGACTCTCGTCATATATGCCATTGCTTTCTCCAGTATATGGCAGATAAGAATCTGGGCACAATACGCCATGTGCAAGAACTAGGACTTCATACCTAATAGTTGAAAATATCATGTAGAAGTATCGGCGCCTTGTGCTTCTCTATCGATCTTCACCACCCGCTGTATTCGATACATTGAACCGAGCGCCGCGCCCCTCGTAGGGAGGCATTGCTCAGACACTGGAGGATAAAGGGTTCTGGCAATGGGCAATGAAAGGAGCAAAGAGCGAAAACAACACTGTGTAATAATTTATGTCATCTTTTGACTACACATCATTCAATAGAGGACATAATAAGCGTAATAAGCTTCCTCGCCTCGCAATCACTTGAGTTAACACACGGGGTCCCTCGCAAACCAAAGGTACTAAGACTGCAAGGCCCTAACGCACTCACAAAAGATTCAGAAATCATGAAAAAGTTCTCATTAAAACCTGCCCATGAGTCTCCATTCTTGAATAAATAAGTACTTGTAGGGTTATTCTGATAAACCCGGAGAACACAAGGCTATGTCGTTTTGGCAGCGTATCCAAAACTCTGAGGACACCTAAGCATTTCGTATGAGTTTCGAATGCGAAAGCATTCTCGGAGCCGAAAGGCGCAGAAGCGGCCGCAGCGCCGGGAAGGAGCCTGGCGGCGTGCCGCGCAGACCGCCTTGGCTCGCTGGTGACTATACTGCGCCGCTGGGTAAGGCAGCGGTAAGAGAGTGAAGCTCCGCACGGCACCGGGAGTGCGATGCTCGGTGCGGCGCATACTGAAATCACGTGTCCCCTTATCATCATCATCGGCCTAGCTGCGGGGACAGGTTGACAACACTTGACTTCAAAGCGTAACGTTGGTCCTTACGTTAGGCCTAACGACTGGCGAACGCTTGCCCGCGTCCCCCTCTCCCGCTGCACCGCCAGCAGTACGGCTGGCTCCTTCGCAATGACGACGACGTTGCTATGGAGCCACATAACGCGTCGCAGCCAATGGGGATTTAGGTGGCGTTTCGCTGCTACAGACAACGCCGGCTTCGCTTTATGGGACAGTTAATGCTTTCGTATTAAAAGAACCAAAAGCTCCCCAAGACAAAGCACCGAAGTCCTAACTCACGCGTAATGTTTGCTCGAGACGTTCTAAGCCCCCCGGTTTTATCAGAACAATGAAGACAAGTTTTTTTTTTTTTTTTTTTTTTTATTAGTGTGCGTCGCCAACCGTTGTGCAATCACGATCTCAACATCTTGTTCATCTTTGTTACCCTCTTCTTTTGCCGTTATTAGAACAGCCGTTTTATTTTGTGTCTTGCTTGAGTTCCTTCCATGGATGTAATTTTTTTTTACTTGTTACTTGTTTCAGAATATTATATACGTGTTTTGTTGCCTGTTCTCTCGTGGTCCTGTTCACGCGCGCGCGTAGGTAAGGCGACGTACGTGCAAGCGGCGGAATTCACGGTTCAGCCCCGCGACGCTTTTAC